GTAGTAGTAGTAGTAGTAGTAGTAGTAGTAGTAGTAGTAGTAGTAGTAGTAGTAGTAGTAGTAGTCGTAGTCGTAGTCGCGGTAGTAGTTGTAGTAGAACTCGATGTGGTAGTGGTAGTAGAGTAGTAATAGTAGCAGTCGTAGTAGTCGTAGTAGTCGTAGTCGTAGTCGTAGTCGTAGTAGTAGTAGTAGTAGTAGTAGTAGTAGTAGTAGTAGTAGTAGTAGAAACAAAAGTAGTAACAATAGTAGTAGTCGTAGTAGTCGTAGTCGTAGTCGTTGTAGTAGTAGTAGTCGTAGTAGTAGTAGTAGTAGTAGTAGTAGTAGTAGCAGCAGTAGTAGTAGTAGTAGTAGTAGTAGTAGTAGTAGTAGTAGTAGTAGCAGTCGTGGGCATGGTATCGGTAGTAGTCGTAGTCGTAATTGTAGTAGTATGAGTATCATTATTATTAGTAGTAGTTGCAGTCGTAGTAGTAGCAGTCGTCGTCGTCGTCGTCGTCGTCGTCGTAGTAGTAGTAGTAGTAGTAGTAGTAGTAGTAGCAGTAGCAGTAGTAGCCGTAGTCGTAGTGCATGGGGTTGCGCAGTCGACTCGGCCGTCGCGCCCTCCGCGCCCGCGCGACAGTGCAGGGCACCGGGGCGCGCCCAGGAGCCCGCCCAGGAGCCCGCCCTCCAGCGCCCAGGAACCCGCCCTCCAGCGCCCTCTAGAAGCGGCCGCGCGGGCCCCCCTCAGGGAGCGATGCCCTCCACCGCCCTGCCGTACCACGGCAAAGTAGCAAGGACCTCCATGGCGCGTTGCGGTGAAACGTCAGGGGCCGCCATGGCGGGGGCCACATCCGGGGGCATGACAAACCACAATATATAATATCGAACCCACCAGTCAGCCGCATCCTGTTGAACAATGCTGTGCGTACGTCCTGGCTATCAAATGGCTCCAAACTTTAGGCAACCGCCCAGCTGTCACTGGAGTCTCCAAGACAGAGAAGCTGAAGACCAGACTCCATCGCGAGGGGCCTAAAACCTGTTCGTGCGGAAAGCTAATGCCGGCGGTCTCCGATCGGAGACAGACGTACTGAATACGGCTCGCAGCGGTTCTGGTGCCGTAGGAGGCGGAGAGATCCTTTGGGACTCGAACCGGTATTCTCTTCCAACCGCCTCGTCCGCGCCCTCATCGTCCTCGTCGACAGCTCTCATCCCCCGTGTTCAGACTCTGCCTTCCACCTCCCTCATCTTCCCTCTTGCTGCATCTCCTAGCTCGCATCAGCTAACACCTGTTTCGCCCTTCTCGTTTTAGTGCCTCGCAGTCAAGGTGGTGACCGTCTTCCGCTTCCTGCAAGACAAGGACCTGACTCCGCGCCCAGGCCTGGAGTATGAGACGGCACAGCTTGGCATGATACGGGGGTGGCCGATATGGAGGATATACAGATGGGGAAGGAGGAGGAGGTTTCACCCGTGGAACTGCAGTGTGACTACTTGGGGCCCGCTTTTCTTGCGATCGCTTCGCGGTCTGGGGCCGTTCTGCCAATCCAGTTGCCTACGGCAAGTCCCGCCACCGTGCCTGGATTGTGGGTTAAACGACTCTTGGATGCTCGTTGGGGTATAGTGGGAGGCCTCTCGGGTGTGGCCTTTTGGGGGCCTCTTCGAGCGGAAGGCTCGAGTTGTTCGTTCGTGTTCCCCTTCTTGGGCTCATTTTTGGGCCGTCTTGGGGCTCTCTAAAGCTGTCTTGGGCGCCTCTTGGGCCGTGTTGGGGCCCTCTAGGGCCGTCTTGGGACCCTCTCGGGGGCCTCTTGGGCCGTCTTCTGACGGTCTTGGGGTTCCCTGGGGCCGTCTTGGAGCGTCAGAAGCTCGAACAGGCGAGAACATTAAAAAACGTAGACATAGCACAATGAATATCAACTATTCTTGCTTCTTTGGGCTCTCTGGGAGGTCCTCTTGGAACGCCCTTGGGATTCCTTGATGCTCTAGGACAGTCTTGGGGCCATCTTTGGCGTCTTGGAGCTATCTTGGAATTGTCTTGGAGGCGTCTTGGCGGCCTGGGTGGGCTTCCTGGGCCGTCATGGAAGCCTTGGAGAGCCCCAAGGAGGCGCTATGGCCGCCCAGGGACCCCCCAGGAGAAGGGGTGGTGCAGGTGGTTGTGTGCTTCCCGCGGAGGGGGGGGGGCCCTGAGATGACTGCAGAGACCCTGCCAGGCAGCTCTTGGCATTATTCCAGGCCACAACGTGCTGCAGGCACGGTGTCGGATTGAACTCTCTTGCCGCTTGAGAGTGGCCTGGCCAGATTTCGCGCTCCAGAAGCTAGAGGTTGGTCAAGCTCGCCTTGGCCGCATGACGGCATGGTTCCGCCATCCCCCGCAAGACTGCTACTTTGGCCGAGCAGAGTCCGCAGGTGACAGAAACAAACCCAGGCACCTGGCAATGGGTTTGGGTCGAGTGGGGTTCCCGATTCACCCGATCCACCGCCCTCGTGCCGGGCGGCGCTGCAAGAAAGATCGCTTGCACGTCGCCTTGCACGACGCGCCTGGGCCGGGCTAACCATTTCAGAGCTTCCTGTCAGGAACCCCCTCGGCCCCCCCCCAGGCAGCAGCCGAGCCGATCTTGCCCTGGGGGACTTTGGGCCGTGCAGTATCGTGAGTCGTGGCCTGCAGGGCCGCATCGAGTACTGAGGCTATGGCGAACTTGAGCCGTGGTGTAAGGTGTCCCCCCCCGCCCCCCGAGGGTCAACGAGTTGGAGACGTAACCAGTGGCACCTTTCAAAGCCATCAGCACCGGTTCGAGGGTGTCCCCGCGGCGCTTTCTTTGTAAGTTTGAGCGCAGCCACGCGATTTTTTGGTTCTCGGACGAGATCAATATTCTTGACGTTTCGCCTATCCCCACCAGCCTTAGACCCAGCAGCGACAACGGCTGACACGACGTTCTGCTACAAGTTCCGGCTCCTCGGCAAGAGGCTTCGTCTTCGGCGTGGCTTGAGCCTGAGCTGCGGCGCGTTTCCCCTCTCCGCCGTGCTGTCCTTTCGTCTCGCCCTTCTCGTCTTGCCTCTTCTCGTTGCTCTTCTCGTCCTCGGCCGTCTCTTCGCTTCGCCTGCTTTTGTCTCCGCTGTGCAGCTTTCGCCACCCCTGTGGCTTTTTTTCCGCGTCGCACTTGCGACAGCAGGGCTTGCGCTACTCTTTCGATTTCATCTGACGGCGCGCGGCTGACCGCGTCGCTCGCGAACATATAAGTGTCCCCGCCAGCCTTAGACCCGGCAGCGACAACGGTTTAGGACCCGGCAGCCCCTCAGAACTGTCCTTCCTCAGCCGGGGTTTCTCGTTCAGGCCCATCCCCCTGGACAGGGCGCTGCCGCCCGCTCCATTCCCGTGGCCCCCTGGTGACACCCGCTTCAGCGCCGACCGAAAGACGGCCAGGTACAAGTGCGACCGCTGCTACAAGGCCAACGTCAAACGCACGGGGGGCGCTTGGCTCGACGACAGTATCCGCTCGTACCTTGCCCACAACCACCTGCAGGCGCGCGCCAACGGGTTAGACTGCAAATGGCTGTGCGGCCAATGCTGGGCGCACGTGGTCGAGAAGCAGGGCCGCCAAGTGTCCCCGGATGACGCCCTCCACGAGCAGGTGCAGGCCCTGTCGCTCGTCAGGAACCCCCCCAGGCCCCCTCCCGTGGACACCTTACCCCTGACCGCCTCCCAGCACGCGCATTCGGCGCTGCCCCCCGCTGCGGCCCCTGGCGACCTTGAGGGCTACCTGCTGGAGCCCTCAGGCCTTCATGTTCCAAAGAACGCCAACGCCGCCCTACCGCCCACGCGGCTAGAGGACGACAGATTTGGGTACTCAGCAGCTGAATCCAAGCGCCGCGCCGCCGCGCGCGACGGGCGCCCACCCGGGGCCCCTCCTCTTTCTTGGCGGGCAGGTGCGCCAGCGCTGGGCTGTTTTGTGTGGAAGGCTGACGTGGAGTCGCGGCAAGCATGCGCGGGTGGCTTCCCTGCGTGGGAGGACCGTGCCGTCGCATGGGGCGTCAATCCCGGCGTCGTTGATAGTATCCTCGATCGTGACACCCACTTGATCGATCCTTGGCTCCCCAGCTTCGAAACCGCGCTCCGCACCCCCGGTGCCTGACGAACCGTCGCTATCCATGGAGCTCGCGCCGAGCTGTGCCTCTGCCGCCAAATCCGCCCCGTTCAGCGAGAACGGTGGTGCCCTTGGCCTTTTCGCCCCGGACCAGTGCGGAAGACCCCCCGCAGTGAGCGGGCCGTGGAGGTACGCGACCTCCTTCCTCAAGTGGGCCCCCCCCAAACGCCCCGCATTGAAGTGCATTGTCATCGATCGCCTGGGGGTTGCCGCGGAGGTCGAGCGGGGCCGCCTGAACGCTAGGCCCATCGAGGTCAGGCCAGTCGACTTCTCGCGCGACTTGGGCCCAACCTTGGACGACCGGTGGAGGGGCTGCGCCGCTGAGCAGGGCAGAAGCGCCAATGGCTCCGAGGCCCCTGATTGCTGGGACCCGCCTCTGCTGCGCCCCTTCCTGAAGAGGGTCCGCCGCGACAGAGTTGCGCCAAATCACCTCCCCAGCGAGTTCCACTGGCGAGGTGGGCGACTCGCCGCCGCCCGCGTGGTCGCGCACCTCTGCGTTCAATCGACTGGCATCACGATGCGACCCAATTTTTCCCCACATCCTAAGTGGGGTTCTTGTTTTCTCTGCGCACCCTCCGCGCAGGATCTCTCGTCCTCCTCCCTCTCCTCTGCTCCTCTTTGCTTCCTCCTCCGCATCATCATCACCATCACCATCACTCCCCACTCATCATCATCACCATCAGCATCACCATCACCATCGCACGATCACTCACCATCATTGGCATCGAACGATCATCATCATCATCACTACTCGCTGACTCACCACTTCGTCCCCGTCATCATCACCACCATTTACCATCATAATCGCACGATCACTCATCATCAGCACTCATCATCACCACCATCATCGTCATCACGTCGTCATCATCACCACCACCACCATCATCATCATCATCATCATCATCATCATCATCATCATCATCATCATCATCATCATCATCAATCATATATCATCATCAAACACCGTCGTCATCATCCCATCACCATCATCCACCAAGGGGGAGCCTCGTCTGTGAGTGAATTGCGAGGAAGTCTCAGGCGGGAGCCCCCTCCCTATGGGGCCCGCAGATCATGTTAGTAATCCGAGCGGGCCATCCCGATCCTGTAACTGTCGTCACTTTTGGGCTCCTCAGGCCTGAATTTGGAGGAAGTATCAGGCGGGAAGCCTCGTCTGTAGATGAATGCTCGAGAAACTCAGGCGGGAAGACCCCCTCCCATTGGGCCCGCAGATCATTTACTAATCCGAGCGGGTCATCCAAACCCTGTAACTGTCGTCACTTTTGGGCTCTTCAGGTCTGAATTTGGAGGAAGTCTCAGGCGGGAGCCTCGTTTGTGAGTAAATTGTGAGGAAGTCTCAGGCGGGAGCCCCCTCCCTATGGGGCCCGCAGATCATGTTGGTAATCCGAGCGGGTCATCGGAACCCTGTAACTGTCGTCACTTTTGGGCTCCTCAAGCCTGAATATGGAGGAAGTCTCAGGCGGGAGCCTCGTCTGTGAGTGAAATGCGAGGAAGTCTCAGGCGGGAGCCCCCTCCCTATGGGGCCCGCAGATCATGTTGGTAATCCGAGCAGGTCATCCAAAACCTGTAACTGTCGTCAATGTTGGAATTTGGAGGGAAGTATAAACGGGAGCCTTCGTTGTGAGTGAATTGTGAGGAAGTCTCAGGCGGGAGCCCCCTCCCTATGGGGCCCGCAGATCATGTTATTAATCGAGCGGGACATCGGATTCTTGTAACTGTCGTCACTTTTGGGCTCCTCAGTTCTGAATTTGGAGGAAGTATCAAGCGGGAGCCTCGTCTGTGAGTGAATTGTGAGGAAGTCTCAGGCGGGAGCCCCCTCCCTATGGGGCCCGCAGATCATGTTATTAATCCGAGTGGGTGATCGGATTCTTGTAACTGTCGTCACTTTTGGGCTTCCTCAGGTTCTGAATTTGGAGGAAGTATCAAGCGGGAGCTTCGTCTGTGAGTGACTTGTGAGGAAGTCTCAGGCGGGAGCCCCCTCCCTATGGGGCCCGCGGATCATGTTATCCAAGCGGGTAATCGGATTCTTATAACTGTCGTCACTTTTGGGCTCCTCAGGTCTGAATTTGGAGGAAATATCAGGCGGGAGCTTCGTTTGTCACTGAATTGCGAGCAAGTCTCAGGCGGGAGCCCCCTCCCTATGGGGCCCGCAGATCATGTTACTAATCCAAGCGGGTCATCGGATTCTTGTAGCTGTCGTCAC